TTCTAGGTCTTGTTTAATTTACATGACCTTCAATGGCTAACTGTTGAGAAACGGTCAGGAATTTTTACAGTTGAAGGGCCCGAGGCATTGAATGCTCTTGTATAATACAACGACCAATTAATTGATCAATTGATTTCTTTACTAAAATTCTGAAACGAAAATGAAGAAATAGATGGAGTTTATTTGTATTGTGTATTAGGCATTGGCAATTGATTATGAGAGCTTGGTATCTAATTGCTTGGATTTGCTATAAACTGGATCAAGATTTTTGCTTTTGAGTATCTTGCATATTCTGAGGAGATTTTTTAGGTTTGAATACCAGGGGATACTTGATGGGATTACAATGGTATTTGTATTTATAACAGAGAATAGGAATTTGTAGCTTAGTGATCAGAAAGGCAGGTTCGGGAAAAAGGAGTAAAAGAATATTGTTTCACTGTTTATAGCAATCTGGACTTTGAAAAAGTGTATAATCATAGGATGGATCGAGTCATACTCCTGTCTTCTTGTTTCTGCTGCTGCATATATACTGATGTGAGATTGTGAGCCAATCTAGATTACTAATATTTTGCATGTTTCTGTGCTTAGTAGTTTCCACTGCAAGATTGCTGATAGTCAAGCGTTATATTTAGTTCTTTCTATTTTTTGCAGATTATACATGGGAATCCAGCATGTATAACACATTTTCTTTCATTTCTTCTTAAAGCGTATAAAAGAGCATTACCAGTTTATCTTCCAGTCTATCTAATTCCTGCATTGGTAGTACATCGCCAAGGTCTCCTGAAAAGGTAATTCGTATTGTTGAAATCTCTTGATACATCCAATTTTTTCTCCATTTCTGTTGCTTTAGGATATGTGCTAGTAAATTTTACCTACTTTGTTTTGAAGATTCAGTCCGCAAGGAGAAAAGAGTTTACTATGAATGGTTAGTAATTGTAGGTTTGAAGCATATGAAATTCCATGTTCTTTCAATTTTCTGGCTATACTCAACTAGGTAGACTATAATGGCTCTTCGGCAGTGACATATAATCCTCAGCTTTTGCTTAACTGTCAGGATATGATGCTTTAGCGTGTGATCTGATTACTTAGAATGAGTCTAGAGTCCTGCCCCACATCCAAAATCATTGATGTCCTTCAGCTTTCTAGATTTTCAAAAATTAAGAATGTAGAGAAAATTGTAGAGAATGAATACCAGAGAAAATATTATCCGGGTGGTATCATCATTATTGTACGAATATCAATTGCTTCAAAGTTTCCATAACATTTGAAGCCAATCATTTACGTAGTGAAGTTGATAAATAGTGTTGTATAGGAGCCGGCGATGTAATGGTTTGAATTAGTAGCTTCCAAAATGCTCTGTTTTTTGGACAATACATACGTATTTGAGATAATTATGTACATAAACCAATAGTTCTTCTAAAGAAGTTCTGTGTGCAAAACAAGAAGTTAAAAAAATTTATAAAATAAACAAAATAGTTAGTTGCAAGGGAAAAGGAAAATTAGTTATGAAGTGGCACACCAAAAGGAGACCACTCTTGAAGGTGCTTGGTTTCTTAAAAGAGTGTAGATGAGGAAATGAAAATGATGCTTATATCTTGGATCTTTGATGATGGGTTGTCCTTGTGAACTACATGGTTCTTCTCTTCTTTTAATGTTGACCCTGTTGGAATTTGGTTTAAAAGAAATTAAAATTGGTTAAGTATAAAAGCATGAAAATGTGAAAAGACTTTCGCGTCAACTTCGGCCAAATATTTGGATTTGATCTGATAGTCATATTATGAAAATAAATAGACTAACTTGTTCTACTCCTCGTGTAAATGATCGCGGTATATTTGAAATCTCAAAACTAATTCTGAATAAATGAGAAATTGCAATCCAAAATTGAAAAGAAAAAACAAGGAATTCAGCCTTAAGACTACCGCTCGAGTGGTAGGCCAAAGCCAGCGAGTGCTGGAGTTTCTGCTTTCGGCGCTCGAGCAAGGGCTACGACCCTTGGTGAAGGTTGCTGAGTTTTAGGGCATGTCTTTCCATCCATAATCCCTCATTTTCTATAAATTGGATTCATTGGACGTCATTTAGGCATCCCAATTCATATTCTTGAGTCTTGCATCAAAAATTCATGCCAAACTGCCCCAAAGTTTCATTCAAAATCATTCTTTGTAGAGAACAATCCGTTCAAGTTCGTTGTTGTCTTGTAGGTGGAAGTGCTTCTACTACAAGGAAGTAATTCATTACATCTTGGGAGACAATTGCCATTACTCCATTAACACCGTTGTTGGGCAAATTTGTCTCAAGGAAATAGTGTTATCACTTGTCTCGGATCATTTAATCCATATTTCTTCTTCTTATTTTTTGTTCTACCTTCTTCATTTGTGGTTTAACATCATTTTGTAGAACTTGTGCCAAAATATTGTCCACGTACAAAACAACATTTATACCATATCCACCTACTGACCCTTCTTTGAGGTGTATTGTACTCAAACTTGATTCAACAAATTCAGAAACTCAGCTTATCCAGTGTAAATTTGTTTACATCTNCTTTGAGGTGTATTGTACTCAAACTTGATTCAACTAATACAGAAACTCAGCTTATCCATTGTAAATTTGTTTACATCTTCAACCTCAGGATTAACGGTGCTTTCCCAAAGAACAGCCAAAGTTCTTTTAATTTCTTGAAGATAGCTACAGTAGAATTTCATGACGAATGAATCTGACTCAATACCCGAACAGTGGACATAATAGAGAAATTTTGAATGTTGATGTTATTTCTAATTCAATGTCTTGAGGATTTCCAATCTACTCAAACAGCTAACTAGAATTATGTTAGAATCCTATTGCGTCAAATTAATCCTCCGTTTGGAAAAACTTCTAAATCATTTATAATTTGTTGAACTTCATTTTCAACCACTTGACCTACGACTACTATCCACTTATCCACCACTCATTTCTATCTATTTATAAATTTTTCCAAATGGAGGCTAAATTACTGATTATAAAATTCTTTTGATTCCTTTCCAAGAAATCAAATGTGTACAAAGTATAATTGCAATAGTCATCTTATCATATGACCAACTGCAGCACTGTGTAAGTGAAATCTTACCACTTGGTTGATTATTTCATATTTTAAATGTTTACAAAATCAATTGCCTCTTTTTATATTCTCCCACCATAATTTATTTCTGCTTCATCCAAACTAAATTTCTCTTTCCTGGGGTAAATGGATTATTTTGCTGGTATGCGAATCTACTTTGTATCTTGACTTGTTAATTGGAAACACATTTTCTTGTCTCACTTCTTGAATTTATACTCTTGTAATCTTATACTTCTTTTTTTAATTGCATAAGCACTCATCTAACTTTTCTTGATACTGTTGTTTCTACATTCCTGTCCTTTATATCTCTGGTCAACCTTATTCAGGCCTCATACGATCCTATGGAAAGGTTTTCTTGGTATTGCAAGGTCGAGCTTGTTTCTCTCGATGTATGGTTCATCTGCATGGTAAGCAACTGGTTTGACAGAGTATTGTGCAGCTTATACCATTGGTCTAACGTCGAAGACTGTTCTGATCATTATTTTTCTCTTCTACCATGGAGCATATTGACCCATGATCTTTAGCTAAATCCGAGCTTGGGAACTCGAGAAACCTGTGCTAGTCTGGAACTATTTTTAAAGCTCACCCACACCTTCACCTCGGTATTCCTATGTATGTTTATATGAATGAATTTTAAAATGGCTTCCTTGCCATCTCATGGAAAACTTTATTTTTCTGTTTGGGAAATTGGGATATGGGAACCACCCTACTATTGTTGTACTTGTTTTGCCTTTTTTTTTTTTTGCTTGGGATTGCTGATTGTTCTTGTTTTATTCATGCTGCTTTGGATGTGGACATGCTTCCTGTTTAGGATTTTCAAGAAATGCAACATTCCTACGATGGCAATGGGAACGGTAAAAGGAGTAGCTCTTTTTATTTTCTATTGATATTAACCAGATTCTACGTTAACACGTCTCTCTCTGCTTGTGTGCATACATGTGCAATTTTATTCGCACCTGAGACTATGCTCTTGAACAGTTTCCAACTGGTCTAGCCCTGGCCATTGAGAAGAAGAGTAGAAGGATAGAGATATCATTATACTGCCTTGCTCGAGCTACTGAAAGCTTCTTCACGTGCATGGCTGACGTAGGATACTTACCTCAGTTGAAAAACTTGAAGAGAGCCGATGTTGTGGTCTTTAGCGTTTCAACTGCAATTATTATGCACTGTTATGCTATGGAGAGGGATGTCTTTTGATCAAAATACTTGAATGTTCTTGATTGGGTTTTTGTTGTGCCTCTTCCCCCATATGGAACAACCCCGCGTAAGAAGACATGACAATTTATTGCATTGTTTGAGGTCCCAAGGGGGTGACAGGAATTTAGTTGTTACTTCTCCCCCTCAACTAATGAGGTCGATTCTCCTGTGACAAATATTACAGATCAAGTTGTCGAAATTAGGAAGTTGAAGAACTTCTTTATTTGGCTATCGGTAGATATGCTTTCCCATGTGCTTCCCATATATTTCGACAAGATTTGCACAGTACAAAAGAAAAGATTAGGGCGAAGTAACTAATTTCTCTCTGGTGGGAGTTGATTTTGAAAAGATTGCAAACAGATTTTAATTTCTTTTTAATCTGTGATTTTTTATTTTTTTGTTTTTAATGGTAGCGAAATGACAATATGGGTTATGTTGATCATTACGAGGAATATGACGAGATCACATGAAATATAAAACTCGTTTTTAAAGGTTCTTAGCTTTCCGTTACTCATAAATTTTGTATTTCCTCTTTACTTTATGAGTAAATACTCGACCTACATGTTTGATTTAGGGTAAAAAAACAGAAATATAGAATGCAAATCTTTTCTCAATGAAATTAAAATCCTTCACACTCGACCCTGGTAGGGTAGCTAATATGCCATAAGAAAAGCCCCTTGAGAACCTAAGCATCAACCCTAAGAAGAGAAATTCAGACCTCATCTTCATGAAGCAACATATTTGGAATCCCCTTGTTAACAGGAAATTTACGACCAGACTCAGGACAAACTAACGCACCCTCCTCAAGATGAAGCTCAACGAGGGCATGATGGAACTTGCGAAGGAACTCATCAGAGTCGAGCATGGAGGATTCAGCATTCTCGGGTAGCTCAGTGTAGCCTATTGTTCTGGAGGCCTCGACCAGGGCCTTCCATTCAATCTTAACAAACAAGTTCCTCAAGAAGTCTTCGTTGAAGTCCACCTGCTTTTCCACTACTTTCTCAACCTCGATCAGCAGAGGGAAGCCATTTGCCACACCTTTGATGTTTGATGACAACATGTTGTGGGTTAAAAGCCTCATTGATAATTTTTCTTCAATTTGGCAAATTTAACCACCTGGATGCACCTTTATACAGGTTGTAGCCCTGTTGAGATCAAATCAATTGAATAGTAGTTTCGGTGATA